TCCCATTGGTGAAGAAGCTTTCATCGTGTTGGTCAACTGGTGCCCAGCCAAGATTTTTTTCATGTTAGAGAACAGATGACTAACAGGGCCAAATCAGAATAGGGAAGGTGATTGACCAGTTCAAAGCCACAGTCATACACAGCAGCCATTAGGAAACATGCAAGGAAAGTAGCAGGATCTGCTTCAAACAATGTCAGATTTTCCTGTGATCTGATCAGCTTGGTGCACTTTTCATCAGGTGTCAGAAGACATGGCACCTACCAAGCATAAACCATTGTCATGCCAAGTTCATTGTGCAGAATATTCTCAACTCTCTCACAAGATATATTAATAGCATTGGCTATTTGATTTATAGTCAACTAGCAGTAGAGCCCGGCGTTGCCCAGGGATATAACAGTAAGAGATAGATCAAGTATCCACCATCATAAAGACTGAAAAATAAAATTGACAAAGATTATTGTTTAAGGTTGACAGACACGCATGTCTTAATTAGTTTTTTTTTTTTTTTTACGAATTGGTCAAGCCCAAACTCAAACAAAAACATTGTTTTCAATCGTTATGAGTCTACTGATTGAATAGAATTTTATTATAAACAATTGTCTTGTAAATGGAATTTTAAAGCATTCTGAATGTAAAATAAAAAGAAAAAAGTGTGCAAGACAATAAGAAACACTACATGCCAAAAAAAAAAAAAAAAAGAAGTTTTGTTAAAATCGGTTGAAAAATGTAGGTAGACTTTCTGTAATCTTTTAGTTTTACAATTTATGATTTTTACTTATTGAATACAGTAAAAAAAATTGCATATTTTGCTTGTGGTGATTCATAATTAAAATTCTGATTTGAATATATTTTTCACTCGTTGTTTCTAATACAAAAAATATTAACTTTATTTGGGTTTATTAATTATGATCTAACAAATCTTATTCATTTAGTAGCCTTCTCTGTAATATATAATAATCTTTTACAATTTATGATTTTTACTTATTGAATACAGTAAAAAAATTGGACACCATGTGTATTTAAAGTAGTTTCCCGTTCCGGTTATTATTTTTAGTTAGGACTTGTGTATGTTTAGATTTCATTATCTTTCCCTAATGATAAAGAATTTATGTTTGTATTCGTACAATCAGTAGAGATCGTTAGATTATTGTTTAAGGTTGACGGACACGCATGTCTTAATTATTTCTTTTTATTTTTATTTTTTACGAATTGGTCAAACCCAAACTCAAACAAAAACATTGTTTTCAATCGTTATGAGTTTACTGATTGAATAGAATTTTATTATAAATAATTGTCTTGTAAATGGAATTTTTAAAGCATTCTGAATGTTAAAAATAAAGAAAAAAGTGTGCAAGAGAATAAGAAACACTACCTGCCAAAAAGAAAGAAAAAAAGTGAAGTTTTGTTTTATCGACTGAAAAACATAGGAAATCCGCTCCCATATTTAAAGTAACCCACACACACAAACAAACCGAAGTGAGTTGTCCCCCTTCCATTTTCACGATGTCTCTTAATCGTGTTTTCAAATTGATTTTGTGCAAAAACAATTATATTTTTCCCGTTTTTGGCACCACCACAAGGTAATTTTATGTAGTCCTGTGAAGTTTTGTTGAAATCGGTTGAAAAATGTAGGAAATCCGATCCAATATATAAACGTTACAGACACACACACACACACACACAATCTGCGTTTTATAATAAGTAAGATTGCCTCGCATCCATCACCATAGGTGAACATGATCAATGTTTTCCTCAGTGGTGACAGTTGAAGGACATTCAGACCTTGGATCATCTTCAAGACTCTCTCTTCCCATCCTAAATTCAGACGGTGGTGTAATGGATAGCGGCTTGGATGGAGGAATCGGAGAGACGAGTTTGAATTCCAGCCGAATCCATTACATTCACTTACGTGCTAATACCCTTGGGAAAGGTATGAATCCTCCTCTTCTCCCCCAGCTATGGGTAAATAGCAGGACAGACCGGGTTCTACAGCCTTGGATGCCAACTAGTCTACTGCATAAAGAAATGGCAACCTACTGTGGGAAAAAAATTTGCCTCGTCAGTCATGTATCAAAAGATACATGATTGCCTAAGCATGTATTATGCATGGCACATAACTAACTGACTTTTGCATTCCCAATATAGCAACCTTGGAGGCTGAACCCTTTTTTTGCAGGTACTTGATAACATCACGATGCCAAATTTTGTCCATTTTCAAGAGAAGTTGCTACTAGTTACTTTTGAAGTCCTCTGTGAATGGTCAGTCTTTGAACTTTTCAGCCCATTATATTATTAATTACATTTAAACTAATGTCCTCATCTTTGTTGTTGTTATTACAACATTTTGACTGTTGTGTCCTCCTGTTTTCTACAGGTGTCATTAAGAAATTAAAATCTGAACTCTATTTAATCTATGGCTGTAGATTCCACTGCCTATGTCTAGGGATATCTTTCCTTGTTCTTAGTACTGCTCAGTTATTGATCATCCTGTTTCCAGAGTTGAAATCAGTGCTAATTGACTCAAAGATGGAAATTTTTTTTTTTTTTTTTACAGCATGGTTCATCCTGTACAAGGCCTAGGGGCTGCTCAAGGTAGAGGGTTACATTAAGGGGTAGTTTATATGGATAGGAGGGGAAGATAATAGTTATCTCTAGACTTGAATAGGTTAAGATTGTAATGATTGGGGAAACATCCCCCTGGGAGTCTGTTCCACAGAGCAGTGGTTCACAGGAAGAAGATGTTTGAGTGGAACTTACTTCTTGTTGATGGAATACAGAGGGAATGTGGGTGGGGTGCTACTATGTGGGTTGTAAGTGGTATGGAAGGTTGTAGCCATGAAGGTTAAACTTGACAGAACCAAGGAATCTGGTTTGTCCAAACACTTTCCATGAAAGTAGCGATAGAACAGTGACAGCCTCTCACCACATTCAGCCTGTGAGAGAGAGGTTGGAGGGTTGAAAATAATTCTTCTCTAACACACTTAATGATTATTTCACCAAATTCATGACCCCTAACCCTAAACCAATAGGGTACCGTCCTTTGTAAGATGAAGATATTAGTCCAAATGTAAATAATAACTTCTCATTTCAGAAATTCAGAGAGAAATCTTTATTGTCTTTATACTAAATACACACATGGTTTCTTCTTCTATGCACCATGTTCCTTCAGGATATTGGCGATCATGACTCTCCACAATTTCCTGTCCTTTGTAGTTATAGCGCTTAATAAACTGTCTTTTTTGTTATCTCTCCTAAACCATGTTCTGCTACCCATTTACTCAAGCTCACTAGGTAGGTTACACATTGTTTTCTTCTGTCCCCCTTATATATCTGTCGTGCAAGTATCAAATTTTCCAAGCCTTCTTTTCTCATTGTGCCTTAGAAATTTCAACTATCTCTTCCTGATGTATAAGTGTCCTTTTTGTTTCCATTTTCTCTAAAACTTTTTCGTTGCTCACGAGGTATCCTCAGCACCCTTCTGTAGAACCACATTTCTGTTGCTTCAAGTCTTAATCCACTAGGAGATTGTCTAACATTCACTGTCATAGATGAGGACTGATATTACATAACAGTTTGGTACTCTTTTCTTTGTTTCTAACAAAATTTTCCTATTTCTTAATACTTTGATTAACTTCAGGAAGGCATCTTTCACTATCCCAATGTGCCTTCAGATTTCAGTGTCATACATTCCGTCCTCTGTTAAAACACTTCCCAGATATTTAAATTGTTGTGCTTGTTTGATTTTGGTATCTCCAATTTGTAACTTCTTCAATAAGTTAAATTGTTAGAAAATGCAACATTCAGATTTCAGTGGAAAGAGAAAAGGTAAAAACTGTTTCTATCTTTATCTGCCTATTGTTCTATACAAGGAGTTTTTCCTTCTCTTTTGTTAAAAATATAGCTATCTTACATTTCTCTTAAATTTAACAGACAAGAATAATACGTTAAAAAGAAAAGACTCTACAAAGAAATACATAAAGCAATGTCCTTTCAAATATCGACATTGACTTTCCAATAAAAAAAAATCTCTGGCTGAATTGATAAATAAAATCTATGTAAATCACTTTTCAGCCATATTCACTTGTCACAATTTAATGTTTTGCCAAGATCCTTCATTTAAATATTTCAAGCATAGAAAACAACTCCATATTCTTTTCATTGAAAAATGCAAATTAAATTTTTCTTTATAAATACTTCTCAAACTTAAAACTTTGAACCTTTAAAATCTCTTTTTCTAATGTACTACCAATAAGTGCTAGTGTCAATAGCAATTACTAATGTACTACCAATAAGTGCTAGTGTCAATAGCAATTACTAATGTACTACCAATAAGTGCTAGTGTCAATAGCAATTACTAATGTACTACCAATAAGTGCTAGTGTCAATAGCAATTACTAATGTACTACCAATAAGTGCTAGTGTCAATAGCAATTACTAATGTACTACCAATAAGTGCTAGTGTCAATAGCAATTACTAATGTACTACCAATAAGGTGCTAGTGTCAATAGCAATTACTAATGTACTAATAGACAATCCTCTATATTAGTTTTGGTTTTAAGTTTTCATCTTAACTCAAATACTTAACAGAAAATGATATTCAAAGAAGTTCAAATCAAATGATTGGCAATTTGAAGAAGGGCATGAATCATACCAATTCAAATTCAAATTGGTTGGAAAAACTGCAAGGACAAGGAATTTAACAAAAATGCTGCCATATTAGATGGAAGTCACACTTTTTCTAAAATATTAAAATTTCAGAAATTCTTAAGAAATGCATAAAAAGAATTTTTTTTTAACTAAGCCAAATAAAAAATATCAAATTCCATCGAAATTTGATATTCCACAAAACAATTTTTCTTTTTTTTTTTCTTAATATTTCCTGTGTAAGGATTTTACAAGTCATCAAATATGTACTTGTATCAAATTCTGAATGAAACCATTCAATTCAATGAAAATTCATACAAAAAAAATAAATAAATAAAAAAGAATGTCTTCTTACTTTTCTCTTCCATCTTGTAAAATCCGACGGCCAGTAATAATTTGTGGTGATTCCGTTAAAGGACATGATTGAGAGAGGTCACTCAATAGGACATCCAAATCACTGGCAAAATTATTGAGCATCTAGGAAAAAATAAAACAAAAATTCTCAGATGAGAAATGTTATCTATAAAAAATATAATATGTATACAAGAAAGTAAGACTTATAAAATCTTTGGTAATTAAATTTGGTGTAAATTGCAAAAAGGAACAAAAATGGTTTCATAATAATTACAAAAGATAAAAGTAAAGTATCAGTTTATGTTCCTGCAGAGAAGAGAAAATACAAAACCCATCATATTTATGGTAATGACAATAAGAATGAGACAAAAACTGTCAAGCTATTTTCTTTAAGGAGTTGTGACTTTTAAAGAGAATAAGTATTCATTTATTAAAGAGATATTTTTGACAAACAATGTACTTGAAAAAAACTGAGTATGTCTTGGCTCATATTAAGGGAGTCATTTAAGAAATGTCTATGTTGTTTATACATAATAGCTAAATGCTTTGAGCCTTTTACAGTCACAAATTTTTTTTCCTGTTTTCCTGCAATCCATTTTTAAAATTATCTCAATTTTTTTAAATTAAAATGAAATGCAAACCAATTCTTCATCACAAAGTTAAGTAACTTGAATGGGTGAGAATTAAAATGCATGAAAAAAAGCATCATTTGTTTATTTATCTAGTAATACTTAAGACTTTAAAGGTCAAAATACAAAGAAAAAAATACTTATTAAATATTTGTAAGAGTGGAAATGAATAAAAAATAATAGCCAAATGATTTTAAAGACAAAGACACGTGCTGAAAACAATTTGTACAAATATGTCAGTTATATTCAAAAGAATATGTCATTGGCTAAAGTATAACAATACCTTTGCAGAATAGGAATAAATTCATAATTATTGCAAAGCTTTTGTTAACACTCAAACAGGATTATTAATATTTATTAGATACAAACAGGATTATTAATATTAATTAGATACAAACAGGATTATTAATATTAATTAGATACAAAAAAGAATTTTAAACACAGTATGGTTGTTCTTTGAATAATCACAATTTATTTTTTAGTGTCTCAAAATATCACACATACGCCCTGAGCCGTGAACCACATCACACATACACCTCGAGGCATGAAGCATGTCACACATATATCTTGAGGCAGGAGTCACATTAATCAATGCACATGATCACTAAGATATATTCTGTAAATAATCAAGTGTACACTATATCTTTGTAATAATTTGTAATCAAAGCAAAAATCTAAATTCTAATAAAAAATAATTCTTTAAAAAAAGTATTTCTGATTGAAATTTAATCTTGCCCAATTTATTTAAATTTCATTTCTACATAAATTCACAAAAACCAAAATCTTTCATTTGATAAATGCAACAATTTCAATATTTTAAAAGTTTTTTGTTTTTTTTCTCACATCAACATTCTGGAACCATCTTTGAAACTATTTACTTTGTTTAGGGGTCAAAATCTTCTCACTTGTAATCTTCATTTTTCCTCAAATGAAACTCATGCCATACTACTTTGATGAGACAAATTAATTTTACTGAAAAATACATCCACTTCTTTCATTATCTATTGATAAATAATTACAGATTAATTACTAAAATCTCGATTCATTTAACATGTGGCAAGAGGGGGGAAACCATTCAAAACTGCCAAGAATGTTTATATTTATTTTTTCTTTTCAGTCTTCATCTACCTTTGACTTTCTAGACAGAAAAGTTTCATCCAAAAATAAGGTTTCCAAAAATGGCAATTTTCTTTCTTCTAAACAATAACATTCAATTACGTCTCATCTTTATTTTGCCAACACTTTATTTAAAAATCATTCTCATTTTCTCATATCAAAAAGCATTTGTTTTTTTTTTTAATGCCAGATGCTGTCGAATTGTCTCCTAGCAATACTTTCAGATTTGAGATTTTCTGAATTAAATGCTGCTAAGCAACTGAATGGTTACAGACTTTTTTTTTTTTTATATGTACACAAGGAAAAAAAAGTTTTTAACTTTTGTTGAAGTAAATAACATTTCTTTGGTAGTTCCACAAGCATAAAAGAGATTCAAACAATAAGGGAGAAATTTTAAATAAATAATTCAATTCTTATTGAAGTACATTTAGCATGCATCACATTACGATTTGGATAAATGCAACAAAAATAGAAAAAGTAATTTATTTTCTGGTGTGATTCATCGAATCAATGAATTTAAATGAACTTGCATATTTTTCTAATCTGGGAGCAAAGTTTAAAATAAATAAACGTACTTTGCATTTGATTTAGAGATCAGTTTTCTTAAAACCAATTTTTATATATAAAAGCCAGTATCCATTGGTTTGTAATGCACAAAACATGTCATACTGATTTTGCCAATATGTTAAAGTGCAAACAAGATACATTTTTCATATAAAAATGACTTTTCTACCTTCAGTCAATTAACTGGGGCAACAAATGGCTTATTAATTTTAATGCCTCAAAAACAAGAGTGCTCTATATTAATCATCTGAGAGACCTCTTCCTGCCTTTCATCAGCATGTATGATGCTAACCTCCAGGAGAGAGACTTGTTGCACCTTCTTGGGGGTGACATTCTCAGCTGGCATGAAGTGGAAAGACTACATTGAATCCATTGCTAGGACAACTGCTAAGTAATTTGCTTCACTGTGTTGTGCTAGACGATTTTTCTCTCCAGAATCTATACTACATATCTATAAGTCTACCATTCATCCATGCTTATATAGTGAGGCGAATGAAGAAAACAGTAACCAGCGAGTAAATTCAAGCTCTCCCAACTGGTATTTCAAACTTGAGTCGTTCCTTCCTGAGTTCTGTCTCCAAATCACACTAACTGCCCGTTCTAGCCGTCAACCGTGAACGTCCCTCGAAGAACTCGCCGACTTGGAAAAAAGTAGTTGTTTTTATAGTTGTTCATGTACCCATAATCCCTTGCGTCTTCCTGTGATCCCATAATTCATTGCGTCCATGTCCCATAATGCATTCGTCCATGTCCCATAATGCATTGCATCGTTATTGGATAAAATGCGATGCCAGTACCCCCATTCATTTTTTACATTATCTGGCGAGGGATGGATTACGTCAGAGCGGTAAGTGCTTTTTTTTCTCCCTCATTTCAACTGCAGTAGCTTTACATGCTAAGCAAATCACGGGCTCTTTTTTGGCGGGGACAAGGCAAGTCGCGACCAGTTAAGCTTGTCCCAGGTTCTGTCTCATGTCCGCCACATATAGTTAGAGATTCTTGATAAAATCCAAAGAATCAGCAATATTATTGGTCCTGATCTGGCGTCTTGGCTTCAGTAACTTTCCCACCACCATAAATTTTCTTCCCTATGACTTTTCTATAAATATTTTCATAGTAATTGTTCAGATGGGCTCTTTGCTATGATACAAAGACTTTATGAATTTAACTGCAGTATGTAACTGGCAACAAGGTCTCACAATTTACAGTTGAATTAGCTTGGATGTAACTGTAAGTTCTATGATAACAGTTTCTTTTCTTGCACTTTTCACTTGTGGAATTCTCTTCAGGGTCCATGCTTTCCAGTCAATTTAATCTTCAATAATTCAAAAAATGTCAACTGCTATCTACTGTCTTCCAGCTAATCTTCTATTGTTCCTGTTCCTTAGTAATGTTTCTGTTTTCTAGTTCTTCCACACCTAGTAACTCTTTGTGTCTTAGTGGCTTTACTGCCTTGCTTAGGGTGAACACAAAAACAAGAAAAAATTTTTTTTAGAGTAAAGTAGGCATCAACTTTCTATTTTCATTAAATAAGCATGAAAGTAAAAAAGAATTGATCACAAATATTTTTATAAAAATGTTAAAATGTATTTTGCAATAAACGAAATATCTTCTATGAAATTTCAATTTTGGCTTTAATTGCAAGAAATTAAAATAAAATCAGTTGTAAAATAAAAATGACTTTTGTATACTTAAAATATGTTTTTAAAATTAGTTTTAATCATTTGAAATTAACTTTGATTCTACTGTAAATGTTGAATTTGTTGAAGGAAAAACTGAAACTAATGGAAAATCTTCCAAAAATAAAGTAGTCATTATAGAAATATAATATTCAACAAGAATTTAATTTAATAATCAACTGAATTTTGAAAAAGAAAATTGTTTAAAACATAGTGAAAATCCATGTTTACAGCAGATAATGTTGGTATCTCTCAATACTTTCTCCTCATACCTACTCTCTTTCTGCTTTATATCAACAATCTACCTAAGAACATTCACAGATCCTTAGCAAATATACATACAGATGACACCATAGTATATGGATGAGCAAGTGCCTGGCAGTTGATCTCTCTCCTTTGGCCTAACCCTCACAGTGGTAGTAACATATCATCACCACTGAGTAGACTCCTGATGAGTGATCATGTTTTCAAAGAAGCTCCTTGCTTTGTATGCTTATTCGGTCTAAATAAAGTTTGCTCCCAACCTCAAATTGAAAGACATTTATTGAGACATTAGGTAGATAAGTCCCTAAAATTAACTCACTAACGGCCCAGTGGATAAAAGTGTTGTTTGATTGATCCAAAATAATTTGAGTTCAATTCCTGACCACAGCAGTGAAAACAAAAACCTGGAGAGATGAATTATCAAAAGGAATTAACTAAGAACTGAGATATCCAGAAAAGGCATGGCATGTGGTATTAGAACTCTCGTGGGCTAAATAAAGGTTTTAGTTTGAAATTATAACAAATATCACCTGAAGAAGGTCAGAGCTTACAATGGTCGAAACATCATGAATATGGATGAAGACCAATGTAAATATTTACAATATCTCATCTGAGAAATATATATATTTTTAACTTTAAATCTTATTTTTAGTGGATATCCTTATTTGAGTAGATGCTGTTTATTTTTTTGAACAGTATTTTATTTTCACCTACCGGCTTGAATGTTCCAAATATTTTATTAAAGAAAATGCATTCTCCTGTGGGATTCAAAATGGAATGCTCTTTGTCCCACTTTACAAGAGAATATTATATTTACACACACCCACAAGGAGGGATGACAAGAAAATGGTTTCCTTTTCTTATTCTTTGC